TATAAGCGGCCACTTAGGGCCCCGCCGCCAATAAGGCCCCCCCTAGCAAAAAAATGAAAAAATAATAATAATCTCAGTACACCGTCGCCGTGATAAGTGTGTTTAATTAATTGTGTTAATATGTCTAGATTGCCTACTCTCAAAGTCATGTATTATATTATTGAGTGAATCATATATAATACATTAACCGTGCTTTACCTGCACCTCATCATGACACTAGAGAGGACGGCAGGACTGACGGCAGGATTGTAATTTCCCGTGTTCAGTGAATTCAAAGGCAAGACACCACCAGACCAACCAGAGAGTTGAATGGAAATGTAATTGCTATAGCAACTCCAACAATTGGCCTAGCAACGGCTTAGCAACCCCATTGTTTTGTTATGAAAATGCATCTATATATATTTATACACATTCTCGCGAGATCTATCAGGGGTCGTCGTAAGTTAAAGCGTGAACTGTTGGCTAATGTTGTTATAATTCTCAGTATGTGAACACAGATCGAAAATGGAAAGATTTCTCACAAGTCAGGCGTAAACGACCGCGATCTCCAACGGAGCCGGACATCCGTGTGTGGGTGTGTCTGTCTGTTTGCGGTGTGGTTAAATGCCACAGCATGCCAGTTGAAACAGTGAACGATCGTTATTGTGTACTTGTATGCTTAGGGTGTAATGGTATTACATTACATGTCACTTGTTAAACACTTTTATCCAAAGCGACTTACATACTCAATACTGTGGGAAATCCCCACAGGAGCAATTTGGGGTGAAGTGTTTTGCCGAGGGACACGACGACATGCTGACTGCAGTGGGGTTTGAACCTGTGACCCCTTGATCCGAACACCAACAGTCAACCCACTGCACCACACGCCTATTATACAAAAATATTGTAGGAGCACAGAAACAGTGTTCAAATGTTGCTTTTACCAACTTATGTTGGTCGTGCTTACCTTGCAAAGTAATGTTATAAGTGTCAAAGGAATGTTTTAATGTAAATATTAATCATATTATTGTAGCGTGTCCAAGTTAATAGTTATGTCAGTTATCAGATGTGCACAGTTTAGTACATTTGTAAAGTTATTTAGGCAATGTTGTTTGTGGGAGTTAGTGAAAGACCGCCCCTTCCAGGTGTGTGTGTGTGCGTTTTCCGGTGTGTGTGGAGGGAGTACGAGACGGTAGGAGTTGTGTTCGAGTTTGGGAAAAAGTCATAATGAGTGTTATTGATTGGTTCTGTAAGGTGTGGCTGTGGCCGTCAATAGGCCTACCAGAAAATAAAGAGAACATTTTCGACATTGAAGGCTCGTGATCTGTGATTTTGAATAGCTACAATATGAACAGGCTCGTGCTTGGCCCACTGGTATTATTTGTTTATTTATTTTGAAAATTAACTAGCAACGCCGTGCTGTCATATAGCAACTGCTAAGCTACTGCAGCAAACAAATCCTGGCGCCGCCCATGCTGCCTGCCCACATATCTGATCTAAACATAGTAACGTGTGTTGGGGGAAATAATTATTTAAAGTTATTTAATAATTGTGACATTTTTTTTACTTTTCGATGGGTGAATGATGCTCAAAGTGAGGGGGCAAAGAATACAACTGAGGGGGCAATGCCCCCTTTTGCCCCCTTGTGGCGCCGGGCCCGGGCAGAACTGTGTGCACACTGCACAGCGCTGCAGCGTGTCTGTGAGGCCCCGCCCCCGCACGCAGATGAGAAAGAGAGATCTCTTTTAAAATATAATGAAAGTTAGAAACGGAGATGGTTAGATAAAAATGTGCAAGATAACGTTTATGTAGCATTTCTTTATTGTCGAAATGATGACATTTATAACGGGATCAAATCAAAGTGAATGGCCTGCTGCTGCTGAATGCATGGGGCAAGTGACTGGAAACAGTTTTAAAAGTTATTACATCGTTTCAGATAATAATAATAATAATAATAATAATAATAATAATGATAATTCATTCTATTTAGGGGCGCCTTTCAAAGCACCCAAGGACACCTTACAATTCATAACATATTCTGAGGAAAGGTTTTAAGACAGAATGCAGTCCGGGGTGATGTATTGTATGTGGGGTGCAGAGAGAGAGCTGTCCAGAATGACACCAAGATGTTGTGTTTGAGTTCTTGATAAGCCATTAAAACAGTAAAATAAGTGTCTCCTGTTCACCGAAACATACCCATCTGTTATGGAAAAAGAAAGTATTCTAAAAGTAATCTGCCACCGGTACCGGCGGGGATTGTTGTTAGCTTCTGATGCGCAGAAGAAAAATCTGGCCAACCCTATTTTTTACAGGCTCACCCTAAAGTACATTCCTGCCTACGCTACTGGTGTATACGTGTGTGTGTGCGTTTGTGTGTATTGTGTTTGTTTCCCGGGGAAAACCCTCACGAGAAACACCGGCTGTTGTTATGCCTGCTGTGACGTTAAGTTACTCCGCTCTCCGCTTGTAATTATGCCGAAGCTTCAAAGTTGTATTTATCATCTGAATTTGCCGAAACAAGTTTAATATTCTGAAAGCCAAGACTTTGTTTAATTAAAATCAGATGAAAACAAACTGTAACGGACCCTGCCGTGTTATCTATGATTACTATACTCTTACATTCATAATTTCAGCCGGAGGGAGGGGGGGCGGCGCTGCGGAAGAGCAGATTACAAGCTTCAAAAATGTATTTATCGTGTGATTTTGGAAATAAAAGTTTCATATTCTGAAAGCCAAGACTTTGTTTGTTTAAAATCAAACAAAACACCCGAAATGAGCCGTTGCGACTTCCGACTGATTTCGATAGAGCGGGTCACATATATCGATAAATGTTGTTTTGTCTGCGAAACAATACATTTAGACTGCATTCATTGTTTTGGATAGTGCAAACAGGTCACGCACCTTACCTTACTGATTTGCAAAACCCATCAGACGGTGGGCGGGGAAAAAAACGTGTTTGTCAGAATCGTCACTTCCTATACTGACAGTGGAGGTCATAGATATATATAAACACTAGATGGCTCATGGGAGATTTTCCAGCGTAGCTGACCGGCTGCCATCTTGCTACAGTCAACAGTTACTCTGGTACGCGTTATGGTAGCTGTTGTGAGGTGAGTGATCTGCACAAAAATACTCTTAACTCGCTGAAATCTTGACTGATTTACAAACGGTTTGGTTTATTATAAACATTATTAGCATGGCTATGATACAAGTTTCGAACGCAATTAGACACCGAGAAGGAATGAGGAAGCAGCGGGGGTTTAAAACTCTCTCCTATTCACTGTTGTGCAAATCATCATGACACAGACATATTGAAAAGTTAAGATCACAACATGATATCCAATGCAAATATAGAGCAAATGATGCTGCTTTGTGTCACTGCATTGCATGCTGTTAAAGTGTCATTACCATTTTATTGTAAACTAGGGGTTCCCTGTAAAATCTTAGGCCCTTTATAGCAGCTCAACAAGCCTTGCCGTTTTTCTTTTAATCTTAAGCATGTTTCCGAGGCCCAATCCAGCTCTCATTCCCTGAGGTGGCACAAAGGCTAGATTTCATACATTTCATCTGTCTTCTTCAGTCTAAAGTCACTTCATGTACATTATAAGCCTATGAAAACGCTGGTACTATTTGGATTGCTGCATCAGTGTCAGCAAGGTCATGACTTTCACCGGGTATAGAAGCAACGGTGTCTTCCTCCCTTTTCAAAGTCATATTTATGCCTGCCTCACTTTTGTTCTTTCAAGGGGATTTTCCTAAATGTGTTCTTGAATTTTTTCATAAAGGTCACCTATTATGCAAAATCCACTTTTGCATGTCTTTTATAGATACACATGTGTCCCCTCTGTGGAAAGAGATTCTGAAAGTTTCAGGAAGAAAGATTTGCTCACTTTTTGTCCTGATCCATTGCTATCAAAACCTGTCTGAAAATGAGCTGATCAGATTTTGGCCACTTTGTGATGTCATAACGATTTTGTGGCTTGTGTAACCATTAGCCAATCACCAACCAAGGTAACCCCCCCCCCCACCCACCTTATCCCCTGAATCTCCTCCTAGAGCACCATTGTGTTCTTGTTAACCAAATATCTCTCAGAGGGGCGTGGGGAGGGGCTCCTTATCTTCATCTGAAGTACCAGAATCAGCACTTTTGAAACAGGGCTGAAACAGAGAGGATTATGGGATACTACAATGCAGGATCTGTTTGGTATTTGGAGCCAAACACTTCAGATACATGTTTGTATATATCCGAGACCTATCATATATTGATGAAAAACAGTATAATAGGGGACCTTTAATTTGTTTGTCCCATTTTTTGTAATTCATTGTACAGTACATATTTTAGTTATTGGTTGTATCAGAAGCAATGTGATTGAGGAAGTTCAATGGCTAAATATTAAGAGTAGTGGCTTTTGGATACTATATATTCCTAATGTAGGAACAAGACTTTTGTAATATAAACGTATGTACTGTGTCTTGATTTGTTGTCCTTTTATTTGCATTTTTCTAACCAAAATATAAACATATCTTATTACAACTTTACTGAACATTGACATTTCCATACTCAAGGTATGTTCAGAGCACAATGTGGTTATTGTGGATAGTTACGGGAATAGGTTGGAATCTTGTGTTACAGGTTGTCTCCATGTTGCTACAGGCACACACACGCAAACACACACACACACACACACACACACACATACACATGTATACATCACTTCAGGGGACATTACATTGACTTACATGCATTTCCTGGAGACTTATCCTAACCTTAACCATAACCAACACATGCCTAACCCTAACCCTTACCCTAACCCTAACCCTAATCCTAATCATAACCCTAACCAAGTCTTCACGCTCAAATTAATGATTCCCCTCATGGGGACCTCCAATTTGTCCCCATAAGGGAAGCCAGTCCCCACACGTGACTATGTAAACATATTTAGGTCCCCAAAAGTATAGTAATGCTAGACCACACACACACACACACACACACACACACACACACACACACACACGCTCACACAAGTGTATGAAGAGTGTCCAAAAGCGAAAGCATTGGTGAATGGGAACAATTGTTGATTGTTCATTATGTTATTATGAGGGGCGTGTACAAGGAAGCAGCATTTTAAAATGACGAGAGGAATGAGGCTGCAATGAGGGTATAAAACTCACTCAGATTCACTCTCCAGAACATCCTGACATAGACTTAAAGGTAAGATCTTAACATGATATCTAATGCAATATGCAGCACATTTGTATTTTACAGAATAGTATGCAAGTTAATAGCAGTACAATAGAATTAGATTTTGTGCATGTGAACGACCATTTTCTGTCATCTCTTTTATTTATTTCAGATGGAATTTGTGCTTCTCCTGCTGATGGTGACAGCATGTGCTGCAATAACTCAAGGTAAAATAAAAGATATATTCTTTATTTAACAGAGGAATTAAATAAGGGAATTTCAAAGAGAAGCACGTACTGTACACAGTATATTTTAAAGTAGTAGTCTGAAACAATCATATTTTTGCAAAACGGGAGGAAACGGGAAATGAATGTTTAAGTGTTTGAACCTTATTGGAGGATTTTGTTCAACTCATCAAAACGTTTTTGGAAAGACGCAATCAAGGAGTGTAGTGTGTGTGTGTGTGTGTGTGTGTGTGTGTGTGTGTGTGTGTGTGTGTGTGTGTGTGTGTGTGTGTGTGTGTGTGTGTGTGTGTGTGTGTGTGTGTGTGTGTGTGTGTGTGTGTGTGTGTGTGTGTGTAGAAGCACTACATATTGTGAAATCATTGTAATATTTTACAGTGTGTGTTTACACAAGCACACACACACACACACACACACACAAACACACACACACTGTAAAATATTACCATGATTTCACAATATTTAGTTGTAATATTTTACAATAAATTACTGTTTTACCACTTTACAGTCTTTACCTGTAATGTTCACAATATAATACTGTAATTTTGAATTTCACAGTGAAATCAATACAGGCACAGTTCATTACTGTGAATGTACAGGATCAATGATTACCAGGATTTCACAACATGTTACTGTATTATTTCACAGTAACATACTGTATTCAGACCATCCTCTGTGATAACACAACAAATTAAGTGATTTTCTTGCTTTCATCGCTCTTGCTTGGCTTTAAATACTAATTTCTTTCTTTGGTGCAGGTTTTACTGAAATTGAAAGGGGCACCGCTGCATGTGCCTTCAAATAAACGTTGCAACATATAAATCTATGTAAAATTGAAATGGTTGTCTTGGCTTATAGTTTTCAGGTGCTTCTTGGGCATTAACCCTGAGACGGGCTCGAAAGCCAAAAAGAGGCATGGCAATTTAAACCCCCATGTCAGCACATTCTTTAGAACAATTGTTGACTTCGAGTGGATGTCTAGACATGGGTTACGTGCTCCCCTCCTTGTTTTCTTTCTGTCTCCCTGCTGCAGGTGCACCTGGTCTGCCCCTGGCTCCGCCTCTGCCCAGGTGCACCTGGTCTGCCCCTGGCTCCGCCTCTGCCCAGGTGTTCCAAATTCCACTCAGCCGTGTATATATAAAGAGAAGCTGGAGGAGAAGGATGTCTCGCCTGTCCTAACGCCGGGAGACACTCTCCTTAGAATACCTCTTTGCCATTTTGAGCTGTAGGCCATATTTTTGCAGGTGTCTTTATGTTTAGCCTGGAGGACCTGGTAATCTAGTTTTCGTGGCTTTATTTTGTTTCCCATCAGGTTTATAATTGATTTTTGGTTAGGGGGGGAAGTTCTAGGTCCTACGGCCCGTGGTGTGGCTGGCTCGGGTTCCCTCCTTCTGTTTGTTCCTTTTGGCCACTCCTCCAGACCTCTTTTTGTTTCCCGTTTCGCTTGTGTGAGCAAACGGCTGATTATCAATAAATGCTTGTTACCAAGTACCGGTTATTGCGTGTATTCTATCATGTTGCGGGTCTCAGCACCAGCCACTACGCGGAGTAGAGGTTGGGGCCGTAACAACATGTCCAAGACACTATGAAATGTACTTTGCACTTCAATGGAGTAATAAAAAGGGCATTTTCTTTGTTGATTGAGCTGATTGAATTGTGTAGTTATGGTAAAATCCCAGTGAACTAGTCAGATTTACAATATATTATCGTATTATTTACATTTTTATATTTACAGTAAATTACTAGCTACTGTGTTGCATTACTTCTACAGTAATAGTGTGAAAATAGAGGTAATTACTGTAATTCATGTACAGCAAGGTACCATAATATCACAGCTCTGTACTGCTATATCACAGTAATTCCATGGGCATGGCAACTGGAAATTCACAGTATTTAGTTGTATTTTTATTCTAATTTACTGTAAAATATCTACAGTAATGTACTGTGAAATATTTACAGTCAATTACTGTGAAATATTCACAGTCAATTACCGTGAAATCCATGCAACTAGTAGCCAGTAATTTTACAGTCAAACATTTTACAGTGCACTGTAAGTTACATTAACCTTAAAAACCTTTCATAATATTCCAACTGCACATCGGGGTTGTTACCACACAAAATAATGTATTTCTGTATTGTAAAACTTTCACAAACATTTCACCTTTATTTTTATTTTTTTGTAGATCTCTCCGGTAAAATGTTTACCTTCCCTCAGGAAACCAACACAGCTTATGTGAAACTGACACCAAAAATAGTGGATTTCGGAGCTATAACTGTCTGTCTCAGGTAGTGTGCAAAGTGCAAAGCCAATGAACATATGTTTATAGAGTATAACTGAAAATGAACATATTCCATTTTTCTTTTTTTATTCCTGCAGGACCATTACAGACCTCAACAGGAACTACGCCCTTTTCTCTCTGTCTGCAACATCCTCTCATAATGCTTTTCTCATATTCAAGCCTACTACTGATGGGATTGAAATCTATGTCCATGATCAAGCTGAAACATTTGGGGGAGAGGACTACAAAGTGAACACGTGGCACTCAATATGTTCTACATGGGACTCTGTGACCGGTGTGGCACAGCTGTGGCTAGACAACAAGCCCTTCATTAGGAAATATGTTGGTGGAGCAAGAATCAAAATGCCTTCTATTATCATTGGACAGGTAAGTTTAATTTATAAGTAAAATAGTTGATAGAATTCCAGAAATGTCTCTTGATTGGTTCAATTCTGATTCATTTATTCTGTGAAGTACTGATTGTAAAACAAAACATTTACTGCATGGAAATGTTTTGTTCACAGCTCACTACAGAAGCACTTTCTATCAAAGCTGTTATCTTATCAGTCTGATCATTTTACAGGAGCAGGATTCCCATGGTGGAGGATTTGACAAAACACAGTCTTTCGTTGGCATGATGTCTGATGTCCACATGTGGGACTACACCCTCTCCACCTGTGAGATCCAGAAGTACATGCTTGACAGAAACCTAACTCCGGGTAATGTGCTCAATTGGAAGGCGCTGGACTACAAAACCTACGGAAGAGTGCTGACAGAACAAAAAACCACTTGCTCATGTACAGAATAAATACAAACAAATATATAAATGTCATACTCCTTACAAGGCTTTTTCTTTTGAGTATGAAATTCAAACACCCTGTAAACCCGAACAGTGGCATTAATCAGCTTGATCAACACAATTACCTGATTTCTGACCACCATCTTAAATGTGTGTGTTTAATTTTCTTATTAAATCTGCAAATTGTTATTTGTAATTAGATGACATTTGTGATATATCCTTTTGTCTGGCATGTTTGCTGAAACATGTATGACGCTCTTCCTGACAGTTCATTAAAAATGGCACATTCTACAGTCCTGTCTCCTGGCCGTCATTCTGACTTAAATCATTTAACAATCTTCATTTCTTTGCATTTATTCAATAGTTTTGACATTTTATTATTATATCATGGTCTTACCAGAATCAATGTTAATACAAAAGTTCAAGAACTAGACCAATAGAGAATGGCTTGTGACTACAACTATTACGTCTATATATTGATCCTTATTTTGTGGGTTTTTCACCCAACATTTTATAACTCCATTGCATTTTTGTTCACAAGCCTTTTTCAAAAAAACATTTGTAGATGGATTTAGGAACTCCCCCTCGGTTCTATTGGCTCTAACGGTTCAAAAGTGGTGTCAATCATCAAAATCGACCGATGGGTTCCAGAGATATGGCAAATCCACCCAAATAGACCTCTCTGAAAAAGTCATAATTCACTTGTTTTGCATCAATCTTGATACAGGGTACTTATTATATGTTATAGTTTGGATTATTAAAGCTTTTAGTCTACTATCCCATAATTCAAGGGTGGTTTTCACTATAAGTAATGTTTTTTTTGGGACGTAAACTATAATTTAAAAAAAATGTCTATGTTCAATCTGAATTTACTTTAAAATAAAAACATCTATAAACATTCTGACTCTTCTACATCCAACTCACAGGTTTATTGTCACGAACGAGCTGAGAACCCAAATGCAACACACGGGACACCAGGGAAAGTCGGTAACCAGCTTTATTATAAATTGTTCCCAATGGAAAGTCCTGGTGCATGCGCGTCCGCCGAAAGACTTCCTATTTTTAAATCCCGACTAAAAATTATTATGCCTGTTTTTAAATGCCTTTTTAATAATGTATTTATTTTGTATTTGTTCTTAAATGTCTTTTGCTTTTAATCTGTAAAGCACTTTGAATCGCCACGTGCTGAAAAGTGCTATATAAATAAAATTGCCGTGCCTTGCCTTGCCTTGGTGTAAGACAAACCGGCAGACAGTAGGCAAAGGGCTAGTCGGGGACAGGCGAGGGTTCCAGGAGTAGGCAAGACGGGAGACGCAGGTACCGGCAGGGTCAAGGAGCAGGCGAGGCAGAATCGTCCGGGTACAGGCAGGGTCAGGAAACAGGTGAAGCAGGCTGGTCAGGGACAGGCAAGGTCGAAACTGGGAGAGCAATCTGGGAGGTAATGCTGGAAAGAACTGCATTCTGCGAAGTACGATCTGGCACTGAGGTGAGAGTGAAGGGGGCCTATACTAGTGGAGCTGATGGGTGTAACAGAGTGTGAGAGAAACAGGGTGTGACTACCAGGTGACTAAGGTGGCTGAGAAATGCTAATGCAGAAAATAGGTGAGTGAGGGAGCAGACTGTGACATTTATCATTGCTTTGAGAAAAGAGATTATTAATGTATCCCTTTTAGAAATGAAGATATAGTCATTTGTTCTGGGAATGTCATTTTCCAGCCTGAGACCTGAAAAACAGGGTTAGGGTTAAAAGCTGTTAAGCCCCAAGCCTGTTTTTCAGGTCTCAGGCTGCAATGAGGGTATACAACTCACTCAGATTCACTCTCCAGAACATCCTGACATAGACTTAAAGGTAAGATCTTAACATGATATCTAATGCAATATGCAGCACATTTGTATTTTACAGAATAGTATGCAAGTTAATAGCAGCACAATATAATTAGATTTTGTGCATGTGAACGACCATTTTCTGTCATCTCTTTTTATTTCTATCTGATGGAATGTGTGCTTCTCCTGCTGATGGTGACAGCATGTGCTGCAATAACTCAAGGTAAAATAAAAGATATATTCTTTATTTAACAGAGGAATTAAATAAGGGAATTTCAAAGAGAAGCACGTACTGTACACAGTATATTTTAAAGTAGTAGTCTGAAACAATCATATTTTTGCAAAACGGGAGGAAGCGGGAAATGAATGTTTAAGTGTTTGAACCTTATTGGAGGATTTTGTTCAACTCATCAAAACGTTTTTGGAAAGACGCAATCAAGGAGTGTAGTTTGTATGTGTGTGTGTGTGTGTGTGTGTGTGTGTGTGTGTGTGTGTGTGTGTGTGTGTGTGTGTGTGCATGTGCGTGCGAGCGTGTGTAAGCATACTGTAAATTACATTAAAGAGCTTACGAAATGCTATTAGCACCTGTTAGTGGGCTTGGTATATGATAGAGGTTACATTTGTATTGTGAAATGTGCCATATGATTTTTTCATTATTGATGTATTTTTTAATAAATCACGATTATAACAGCATACAAATGTTGTCAGTTAGTAACAATCGTTCGTCGCTCTGGAAACAACAACTTCGGTCATTTCCGGCGGTGACGTCATGAGTAGAACACAGCTGAGCAGAACACAGCTGAGTCACCATTGTTTAAATGCCAAATCTGGCTATGGGATGTTTTTGTGGCCAAAAAATTGTCAAATGTCGCGTATATGGACCAAACAAGTGCGTCGTACGAGGGCGGGCTTTGCTGGACTTGATTGATTGAAAAGTGTATTAACAGCTTGTATATTGGGTACAGTACAGTACAGCTCAAAACATACAATTGTTAAGGGGATGCAGACCAGAGAAAGACTTTCGTCTTGTTTACATCAGGGTCCAACCATTTCCAATTCATCATATAACCAGGTAACCCGGGGTCGATGAAACCTACAATTTGTGGGCAGCACTTTGAAAGATCGTGTTTCGACCAGTCCACAATGCTCGCTAAGGAAATTGGATTAAAAAATAATTTCAAACTGAACAAAGATGCTGTTCCAACAATACTGCCAAGACCCCAAATGCCAGCACAAGCCACCACGCCGATTCCTACATGTCCCCCGATGCAGAGTCCTCCACTAAAGAGACGGCGAAATGCATTCTCCAAAAGGGAGAGAGCGAAGGTAAGCCGCGCTACTTGTTGTTCAATGTTTACAAGCATAAAGCCTGACTCAAAATGACATGTAAAAAAAAAGTTTCTGACTTGGTTTGTTGTCAGCCGGTGACCAGCTGCCCAGACATTTCACGGGGGAAAAGGATGAAAACGGGGCTTCGGGTGCCGTGGGAAGAACCTCCGTGTATTCACGTTCTTCACAGTAAGCAGTTACATTGACACTGTATTGCATAGGCCTACAGACCAGCGCCATATAGATAGAATACAGACTACGGAGCTATTGATTGGTTGTCAATCTTATGTTTTTGAAAGTAGGCTAATACATTAACTGAAGGGGCTGGGCCGGGAGAGAGCGAGGCCCGCGTCAGAGGTCCACCCAAAACCGTCATGAAAAAGTTTAGCATTCTAATGCATCTAACTTTATGCACAATATAATAGTCTGGCCAGCCCTGCAGCCCGTTCTAGGTTCTGATTGGCTCTCTAGGTTGGCATTCTAGCTTCTGACTGGCTGTCCAGGTTGTCAATCACAGCCGTGGGCATATTATATTTACGACTAGTAATTCTCTATGAATTAAAGTCAAATGTATATAGCCTACCAGTCTGTGTTTTGTTGCCGCACCGGATCTCCGCCAAATCCAGGATCATCGTCCCCATTTTCGCTCCCGTCTGTATCTCTACCGCTACTTGAATACTGTGGCTCAAACTGGTATGGTTCCACCACGTTAGACTCCACACCAGCATCCTCTTCAATAAAATCCTCCTCTTCTTGAAAGTGCACCGAGTCTATTGACGACTCACTGTCACTCGATTCTGTCGAAATATCCGAGCCAGAGTCCGACATCAGCCATATAGTAAGTGTATTATTCAAAAAGGGTTCTACTCGTGACGTGCGTGACGTAACTAACCGGCGAAAGCCGTTTGGTCCGGAGCAGTCGTGTAACATCGGAAGCGAGCATGGAAAGTTGTAATAAATCACGATTTATAAATACAGCGGGCATATTGTCATCAATGACAAATGATTTCCCATTAATAACAGTATTTATTATCCTAATAAGAATAGTGTTGTCCTTCATTTCGTAAGCTCTTTAACCTTAAAAACCTATTATAATATTTCAACTGGACATTGGGGTTGTTACCACACAAAACCTTTTTTTCAAACAGGCCATTTATTAGGTCACTACAGTATGTGCGCAATAATGTATGTCTGTATTGTAAAACTTTCACAAACATTTAACCTTTATTTTTATTTTTTTGTAGATCTCTCCTGTAAAATGTTTACCTTCCCTCAGGAAACCAACACAGCTTATGTGAAACTGACACCAAACACACTGGATTTCAGAGCTATAACTGTCTGTCTCAGGTAGTAGTGTGCAAAGTGCAAAGCCAATGAACATATCCCACGGCAAACCCGGACTTGCTTCACGGCACACTAGTGTGCCGCGGCACACCGTTTGGGAACCACTGATCTAGTCCAACACACACACACACACACACACACACACACACACACACACACACACACACTCACAGCAGGAAATGAAATCAAGATTAAGATCAAAAGCAGTTCTTTGGTAATAGGAGGATAATACAAAGCGAGAGTGTGTAAACATTTTTAATCAATGATTTTATCACCGAGCACAATCTTGATTTTATGTTTTTAACGGAAACTTGGATTGAACAAAATAACAGTGCAGCTGTTCTTATCGAATCAACCCCTCCCAACTTTAGTTTTATGAGTCAGGAAAGAATGCATAAGAAAGGGGGTGGAGTTGCTATTCTGTTCAATGATTCCCTTCAATGCAGGAAGACATCGTATGGAAACTTTGATTCTTTTGAATATGTGGCCCTTCAGCTGAAATGCTCCTCTCGAGCTCTGTTCCTAAATATCTATAGACCACCCAAATACTGTGCAAGCTTTTTTGATGACTTTACTGAACTGCTGTCTATAGTGTGTATTGACTTTGACCGTCTAGTCATTGTTGGTGATTTTAACATCCATGTTGACAACCCCCAGGACAGAGGGGCTAAATAACTGTTCTGTGTTCTTGATAGCTATGGACTGACTCAGCATGTGACGGAGCCCACGCACAATAAGGGGCACACTCTGGACTTAATTATCTCAAAGGGTCTGAATATCTCTAAGGTTGTGGTGA